AATGTGGAAAACTAGTGAACACCATTTTTATTTTATTTCATTTTATTACATTTTTTGTTATTATTTTCCCTTTTTTAAAACATAAATATATAAATAAAGGTGTGCTTTATTCTTAATTCTAGAAACTCTATCCATCTATCTATCTGTCTGTGTTAATATGTAATTATTTATTAATTGCATCCTAAGTCTTACTACTGCAGTATTCTTAGATAATTTACTGGAAAAATAAGAACAAATGCACTGATTAAGGCAACAGTTTTGCATTGTGTACATGTAAGTTGAATTCAAATCAAACAGCTTCAGTCTGGTTTTATATAAAACTTCATTACCCATGTTACTCTTTATCTGGGTTCACTCACAGAGCGGAGCACGTTGATTTTGACAGGATTGATCATAGCATTATGCTCCTCTATCTCTCTTGCCCTATTTCCTTTGAGAGCTACAGCCACTGAGTCATGTTGCCTTGATAGAGCGATGCTTTTATGTGGTTCTGATAGTTGTCGATTTGAAAAGACTCCGTAACCTTGTGCATCAGATTATATAAAGTTGTTGACACACCAGATAAAAAAAATAAAAATCTCTAGTCATAGACATCGAAATGGCCACCTTTCATAATATGACTCTTATTATACCGTCAATGTAAAACAGTCATGTAAGGGTGACATAATACATTTACAAAACATTATGCTTACAAGAGCAGTTTTTGTGTGTATTTTATTCAGTGTAACTTGGATCTTTATATATATATATATATATATATATATATATATATATACTTCTTAATTGTAATTTTAAAGTCAGATATGCAATGGACAGATTATGATCATGCAACTCTCCCCTCTAAATCTATTCAGTCCCACTAGAATAATTATTTAAAAATCCATTGTAACTTCTGGATGCTGCGAGAGCTCGTATGAATGATTCATGATTCGTAGGTCTTGGGTGTTGTTTTTTAATTCAGGGGCGATTGTCGTCTCTGGTCTGTATGAGAAAAATCTTTGCTCGACCTGACCGAGCTGATCATTCTATTATCAGAAAGCATGTTTGGTCTAGAACAGCATGTCCAATATCAGTGTACTGTTGAATTGTGGGTAAATAGAGGTCAGTGGCTATTAAGGTTGAAATGACTGGAGTTTGTAGCATGTGTCATGGGGCATTGCATTGTGTCCCTTTCACAACATTTTTGTTCCAAAAGTTTATATTGTTGCCACTAATTGAGCAATGACCTGCGTGGGCTGGATAGATTTGTTCAGGTACCATTTCTTGAGTTTAGTCTACTTTGAGAGAATCGTATTAATGGGTGAATCTCACAAAGCCTGTATTTATTTTTTACTGCTAAACATAAAATAAAAAAGCTATAATATGTTGCATTAAAATATTTAAACTTATATTAAGTTGATCCGATGAAGAAACAAACTCATTTACATTTTGGATGACATGAGGATGAGCTAAATTTCCTATTCCTTAAAACTAATCTTTTAAGAGCATTCTCCCATCAATTTTCGTGACCCTTCAATTATATAAATTCTTATTCCTTTAATGCAGGACAATAGAAAGTAGTCTGATGATGAACACTTACGTTACATTTATTGAATCAACATCTGACTCTGTTGTTTCAACGATGTCCGTTTTTTGTCATTTTGTATCATTACTTATACACACTTAACGTTCAAAAAAAAATATACATATATACACACACACATATATACACATTATATATATAAATATATACATATTGCCATAATTGTTGGAATAAATAAATATATATATATTTTTTTTATTATTATTTATTTATTCCTACAATTATTGCAATATATATATATATATATACTGTAATAATTGAATAAATATAAATTCTGCAGAAACCACTGGCATGTAGGCTTGCTGTGAGTCACGTGCTAAAACTCTTTTACACACATTCAATCATTGTCTGCCCACATGATTTCTTCAAATGGTGAGAAATGTGCGGCCTTGGACTAATTCAACAGATAGTGGCAGCATAAACAGCACACACTTCTTCAGTGCATTAGGAAACAGTGTAAGGAAGATAGGGTTCTCTCTCTTTTAGTCCATCCACATCTCCTGCGCATGAGTGCCGATCTGAGTGTGCCCTTTTCAGAGAGAGAAGAATGGATTGCATAGGGTCTAAGGCCCAAAGAGCTGAAACAAACCTACGGTTACATAACAAGAACAATTTCACGTGACACTCGTGAGTTAACAAGAGCAGGAAACCAGGGGGACTTGAGAACACTTTTACTATCATTGCCCTCACATATAGATACACTTCATTATTTAATTCATAATTTTATAGGATATGATTCTTTGAAATAGACTCAATGGCAGTTCGGCCGGCACAGGAAGTAATATACTCATGGGGTCCTGTGCCTGCTGAGCAACTGCCATTGAGATCAATTTGTATGAAATAGCTTTCTACAGTTATATAGACCTCCTTGATTTGGACTCTTGTGGTTATCGAAATGCTGTGGAAACGTTTTCATATGCAATACATACAATTATAACGACCAATTTAATTGGTGTTCAACCTCTCCAAATTTCTCTGTATTTCACACCCTTCCGCTTCATCCATCTGAACACATACTGCAGGATATAATCTTCCTTTTGCCCTTAAGAGGTACACAGCCCACTGTACAGTGCAACAAGACAGTACCATCTGTCTAACTGTCAGTAGGTATTTGTCTGCCCCTCTCGCCACGGAAGGACAAGCGTGACATATCTGTGCCATTGGTAAACGTCAAGATCGAATCCAGTGAATAATTGCTTATGACAGCTTCACAAAGCAGGCAGGAGACAGAGAAAGATAATTGTTTTGTTGTTGTTGCTGTTTGACGTAACACAAGCCAGATGGTGATTTTAAAAACAGCTGCACAGACAGTAACACAGAACAGAATATGATATTCCTTGAGACACATTGAGCATTTAAATTGCTTTAAGGCAAACCATTCCACTGTCTGTGACAAGCCAGTTATCTTTAGCTCCCACTTTTTAGAGACTCTGACATCGTAAGCTGTGCACACAAGCTTCAGCTCTTCCCTGCTGTGCGCGGAGATCCTTTAAATGCATTCTCTAATCATAGGCACACACATATAAACACACGCATGCGTGCCTGTGCACAACGGCACACTGATATTCTGAAGGTTTCTTGGAGTGCACTCTGGGAGTTTGGGTATGTGCCATCTAATCAGAGTAGTGGCTAGAGATGACAGTGGGACAGTTATTATGCCGGAGAGACAGAACCAGTACAATTCAATGACTTTTAATGAGGGAGAGGATATCAGTAATTTAACAGAACATTTGCTCTTGGTTTATTATTGGCCCATTGTTAGGTAGTAAAAATTGACAAACCTACATTGTGGGGACCTTGTGGTGCCACTGAGACTTCATAAAGGGACCGACATGGAAAAAAGTGCCTTTAAGTATTAGGATTAGGGGTAAGATATTATAATTATCTTTCCATGAGATAAACCATTATGTGTGTGTCCACCAATATTTCTGTCTAAGTTTCTGATGTTGATGACAAAGTATGTGGGGAAAAGCTAGAGAGCTTAAGCTGTGAGAAATCTTGTGGAAAAAAAGCAGCTCTGATTAATTCATGAGAGGATTAATTTGCGTACCGTTATAGAGATTTCAACTCCATGGCCATATATTATTTTTTTGTCTTGCTTATGTAACCTCAATTTTTTTTGAGTACAAAAATCAGTAATAAGGTCTAGATAACATTATTTATTATTAATTATAACAAGTAGTTCAAACCCTCAGTCTGAATCAGTAATATGCATTAAAAGTAGGCATTGTCAGTGTTTTTTTTCTGCAGGGTAAATCGTTACACCAGTAGTGGGCGATAAGTGACATCTTTATCATTCCCTGCGTCTGAATATGTGTACTATAGAGTAGTCGAAAACAGTATGTGAAAATAGTTTGTCTGAATGCATAGTATTCATAAAACAGTTGGCGAAAAGTATACCCGGATTTATTATCCCATTAAGCCACGGAAGAGGAGTTGTGAATGACAGTGAAGCAACGCAAATGATGCTGTAGTCACATGGCAATGACAACATGGCAGATCTAGTGCGCCTGGATTTTATTCATAATACACCGTCTCATAATATATAGACCATACTTTTTCTTGTGTCGTGAGGAAAGTTCTTTATCAAATGTAGTACCTACTCAGAAAGTATGAGATTTCAAGCACAGTTGCTGACTCAGTCAACTGATTAGTTAAAAAAATGCTGATTTATTTAGGAAAGAAACAAGCAATGTCCGAATGAGTGAGTCATTGAATTATTCACCCAGCTGTTCCATTTAATTGAAACAGTGATTTATTCAGGAACGGAGCACTGATATGTACGACAGTCGGCTTTGTTTTTTCAAGTGGACATAATATAAATGTAAATAACTCAATGTTAACGTTTTGTTTAAAAAGAATTGTCTATAAAAGCAATGCCACGAACAATTGTGATTCCTCGCAACCTCCTGCCTACAGCTGAATCACATTCATAACACCACTTGTGTGACATTACTTAATTATATATTGTAACTAATTATATATTTTATCATATATTTTTTTTATTATTTTTTAGAATACACATAAATAAATGTTTCTTCTCAGGTGACCAAAGAGTGTAGTAATTATAATTATATTGATTCAAGTACAAAAGAAGTCAATGGGAGGTCCTCACCATGATATAAACCGTGAAAGTGTGTGACTCACATCTACCAGCATGGACGGGAAGCTGAATACCGGATCTACTGATGTGTCAGAAACATTCACTGCCTTGTCTGGAGCGCTAAATAATGAATCATGTCAGCATTGTGTGATGGGATGCAGAAACATTTGAAACTGTTTACTGATTTGCATATATATATATATATATATGTAAAACTGCATACATGCATCCTTTCACGTATTCACACACAGTATTTACATAAGTAAATTCATAACTGCCTCAACCATTTTATGGTTGAACAAAAGAGCCACTCACCAGGTCTTTGGAGGTTCCCAACTTCTTCAGCCCATCCAGAGGCAGAAGATCCGCGGAGTCCTTGTGCATGAACTGGGTGGCCTGTTTCAGTCTCCTCTGCTGGTGCATGATGGCTTTGTCCCTCATCTCTAACTCCTTCTTGCCCTCACTCATGGTTTTCGTGGATAAAATGCTAAATAAACAGAGCTACCCACTAAAACGGGCTCTAATGAAGCTTATTGTGGCACTGCAGTGACGGGTGAAAGCCAGCAAGAACGTGACCCTGATACACAGCAAGACGACCTCGTGCACGCTCCCCCTAAAGCATACACATGTGAATGCATGCAGGCATTCAGTTGAGGTATCAAAAATTGCCAATTTTCCTCTAGATAGCAACTTCTAACCAAACATAAATTGGAATTACTCCGCTTAGGCCCCTTATTGTAGCTTGTAATCTCTCCTGTGGCAGGTGATCCTGATAATCTTCTCCTGTTGATTGACAGCTGTCAGTCCAGTGCAGTGATTGGCGTGGTTGTCATGGTGAAGAGCGTGTGATTGTTGAGAGCTTCGGTCCGTCTGCATCCCAGAGATGTTCAAACTGTCCTTGCAGCACTGCAGAGGCGAACTGTCCTCCCCTCTTTCCCTCTCATTTTCTGTCTCTCCTCCCCTCCTCTCTCTGTCTCCACCTCCCCCTTTCTTTCTCCACCTACCTCTCTTTCGCACTCTCTCTTCTCTCATGCTCTCTGCCATGTGTCTCACTTCATCTTGCTCTTTCTATATCAGCTTTTCGAAGTGACTTTTGTCGGTAGGTAACATTAATTAGAATGATGAAGGCTCCTTTGAAATACTTCGTTTAGCCTTCATCTTTGGTCTTCTCATTCTCTCACACACACGTGTGGCAAAACTGTAATATAATTTCTTAGTTAGAAACCTACTTAAAGTGCAAAAATAGATTTATAAATAGTTACCCAAAATAGGTGACATGTACACACCAGGGCTGCTTTGATTAAATTGATACAGTCTCAAATACAGTAAAAAAAAATTTAAATAAAAAAGTCATATTGTGTTCAGAAAATTGCTTTTCTATTTTAATACATTTTAATTGGTTGGGGATCTTTCTCCACCTACCTCTCTTTCGCACTCTCTCTTCTCTCATGCTCTCTGCCATGTGTCTCACTTCATCTTGCTCTTTCTATATCAGCTTTTCGAAGTGACTTTTGTCGGTAGGTAACATTAATTAGAATGATGAAGGCTCCTTTGAAATACTTCGTTTAGCCTTCATCTTTGGTCTTCTCATTCTCTCACACACACGTGTGGCAAAACTGTAATATAATTTCTTAGTTAGAAACCTACTTAAAGTGCAAAAATAGATTTATAAATAGTTACCCAAAATAGGTGACATGTACACACCAGGGCTGCTTTGATTAAATTGATACAGTCTCAAATACAGTAAAAAAAAATTTAAATAAAAAAGTCATATTGTGTTCAGAAAATTGCTTTTCTCTTCAGTTGCCTCTGCTATAGACTGAATAATTCAGGGCACAGTAGCAGTAGTCTCTGATAGCAGTAAGGCTTTACTTTTTGTATTTTGAAACATTACTGTGATTCAGTGTTTAAGTGAAGTGATCCAGTCATTGGCTATGATTAACTGGTGTTCTATGTGTATCAGAACAGCTATATGAAGCTACATTGAGAATTGTGAGAGACCCAGAGCAGATGTGACTTGTTAAATCAGTCTACTGAGGTAGAACAAGCTGTTTCTGCTGCATTTCTTCCAGCGTGAGACCTGCGATCAGTCAGAGAGTCAGCTCACTACAGCAGTGACACATTAAAGGCAATGCAGGGCTTCGTTTCTTGCTAGAGATGTTATCAGTTGGCCACATGGTGTACAGCCTGTTCTTTATCTGGATGCTCAATATATGTTGTGCATGTTTTTGATGTGTTTTTGTTGGTATTTATAATCTTAATTGTTTTAATACGTAAATACTCTATTCATTTGCATGTGCATTATGTGCATTTGTAGTGAATAACAGAACTGTGTGTGTGTGTTTGTGCACGTGTGGTGAAAATATTTATTATACTAAATTAAGTTGTAGTGCCACCAAGTGGCTGTATTATTATAGCAAGGACATAAGGACAACCAGGACCAAGGCTATTTTGGTTGAACAGATGATTTTGATATTTTGCCTCCCAGTATTGCAGAAACAGACTAATTGACCATTTTACAAAATTAATGTCATGATGCTTCTCTTCAGTTGCCTTTAGTCATCGGTATGCAGCAGCATTCCAAAGCATTCTGAGAGAACAGTCAATTTTTTTTTTCTTTTTCATAGTGAGTGACATGACATGTGGCCAAGTATGGTGACCCATTAGTGCTCTGCATTTACCCATCCAAAGTGCACACACACACAGCAGTGAACACACACAAACCGTGAACACACACCCGGAGCAGTGGGCAGCCTTTATGCTGCGGCACCCGGGGAGCAGTTGGGGGTTCGGTGCCTTGCTCAAGGGCACCTCAGTCGTGGTATTGAAGGTGGGAGAGAGCGCTGTACATTCACTCCCCCCACCTACAATCCCTGCCAGTACGAGACTCGAACCCGCAACCTTTGGGTTATGAGTCCGACTCTCTAACCATTAGGCCACGACTTCCCCTATTTATATTAGGCCACGACTTCCGACTTCTATTTATACCATAGAACTCTGATGATGCTTTTCGAGTCAGTCGTCATTGAAACACATGCAGAAAACAATTTTGTATATGTTCAAATCAAATGATCTGTTGAATGCCTGTGAATCATGGATGAAATGTTCTTCTAATAAATCAGGTAATAATCTCTTAATTTAATTTGACCAAATTCAATTTTATTAAAGACAAAACATAGCATTTATACCATAAGCTGCATTTTTTATATCCGATCATCTCAATCATGTTGCCACTTACTGGTTTAAAAAACGTATTTTTTCCGTATGTTTGATAACTAGTTTGACAGATTTGGCGCTTAGTATCCCCGGGTTTAACGAGCAAATCATTGGCCATCCACTGCCCCACCATCCTCTCTTACAGGTGGCTTGTCTGTGCTGGGACATCTGCTCTGGCTGAGACAGTCATACAGATTTGGAATGACATTATTACGTCTTTGATGTCTTTCATTATCCTTTATATTAAGTTGTTTAATCAGTGTATGCAAGTTTAGTGTTTTAATTTAATCTGCAGGCTCTATAAATCTGAAGGCTTCACTTGTGCATCTGTATATTAGTAGTAGTAAATCTGTATATGTCATGTTATATATCAAAGTACTGTACATGCATTGGCATTAGATGGTTCTGTGCAAGTTGAAAATGTTTGGTGCATTTCTTGTAGTGTTCTTTCTCTCTGCCCAGATAAATACAATTATATATGTACATTAAAACTGCTTTAGAATACCTCAACAGAACTTCTGATGGAGATATTAAAGGAATAGTTCAGCAAAAAGTGAAAATGCTGAAAATGTACTCACTCTCAGGTCATCCAAGATGTAAATTAATTTGTTTCTTAATCAAAACAGATTTGGAAAAATTTAGCATTACATCACTTGCTAACCAAATGTATCCTTTGCAGTGAATGGGTGCCATCAGAATGAGAGTTCAAACAGCTGATAAAAGCATCACAATAATCTACGTGACTCCAGTCCATCAACCAACATCTTGTGAAGTTAAAAAAGGCTGTTTGTAATGAACAAATCCATCATGAAGACGTTTTTACTACAAACTGTTGCTTCTGGCTAAAAATATGAGTCCTCTATCTATAATACTGCATTCTCCAGTGAAAAAGTAATCTTGTCTGAATCAGAAGAGAAATATACACAGACCACGCACTGTTTACAAGTGAAAACAGTCCAAAACAGTTCTGAACAAATATGTTGGTGGATTTTGATGTGAAAGGACAACAGGGGGTGGACTTTTTCACTGGAGGAAGTGTTATTATGCATTATGGACTTGTATTTGAAAGTTAAAATGCCTTATTAATGGTGGATGTGTTTATTACAAACATGCAGCTTTTCACTTCAAGAGATGTTAACTGATGAACTGAAGGTGTGTGAACTACTTGTGGATTATTGTGGTGTTGTTATCAGCTGTTTGGACTCTCATTCTGACGGCACCCATTCACTACAGAGGATCCACTGGTGTGCAAGAGATGTAATGCTAATTTTCTCTGAATCTGTTTCGATGAAGAAATAAACTCATCTGTATCTTGAATGGCCTGAGGGTGAGTGAATTTTCAGCAAGCTTTCATTTTTGTGTGAGCTATTCCTTTCAGTATTGAGGCTTTTTGACTTATGATTTTAATGATCAAAGTCAAACTACCTTTATTTAGAAATAATCATTTAAATGACTATTTCATCAAAAAATAGATACATAAATAAATATCTGTCATTATTTATCATTTTCTCACCCACGTTTTTTCAACCCTGTGTGACTTGTTCCTTCCATGGAACACAAAAGCATGAATGTTAAAGAATGTTCCAGACACTCTTTTAAAGTCACACAGTTTGAGGGGGAGTAAATAATGACCTAATTGAAATGTTTTCGCTATACTATTCCTTTAATGTCTTCTGCAGGTTCTTGGTTGGTTGATCATTCCGATCTAGTAAATGGTTTTGGTAAACCTCTAGTAAACTTGCCATTTCAGACCTGGCTGGGCTCGCTACAACAAAATCTGTGTTCCCCAGCAGTCTGCAGTCTTCTTCAGATCCCCAGCGCGTGAACAATGTGGCTCACAGGACATTGGGCAGGTAGAGAGAGCAAAGCAGCATGTTCTGTCCCAGAGCAGGAAAATGTCTGAAAGCCTCCCAGGCATCTGAGAAAATGTTGTATTTGAGGAAGACGCGGTGCTCCAGGCTGGTGGGCAGGCTGACATCTCTGCTCATAATGTAGATGCCGTCGTTGTGCAGCATGCAGGTGAGGTTTAAGCCAGACTTTGATGTGTTTTCCTTAAGCTGCAACCATTCTCCCGTCTGCACGTTGTATGACTGTACCGTCAGCATGTCCTCCGTCTGGCTGAGTCTCCGGCGTCCCATTTCTGCAGGTTCTAGCTCGTGAGTGTAGCCACCCACCAGGTAGATGGTGTCCTCCACTGAGAGCATCTGCTGCTTGCGCACATGAGCCGAACAGGAACAGAACACGGACCGTGTGTCCGAGGCGGGGCAGTAGCGCAGTACATTGGTGTTCCTATCTGTCAGGCATTAGAAGAAAAACACTGAGATCACAGAATCTTAAAAGATCATTTGAATGTAGTAATTTAAAGTCAGCATGAGATGGAAATTGCAGTTGCTTTTCTTCCCTACTAAGATGTATATATCTGAGTGAAACGGCTTCTCAAATGTAGGACCGGACTTTTGTCCATCAAGAATTGACTGGATCATTGTTGTTTGCTAATGGTTGCGATCTCATGTGAGTAACAGGTTGATGGAAAGAAGGGATTATTGTCCAGCATGAATTGCATCATTTATAATATGCGCAGTATTCCGTAAAAAAATATGAATCGTAATTTTTGAAGTTTTTTTGTGTAATTTTTAAGATGTTTTCACTGTCAGACACACAATATATTGATACCATATTAATCATTGGCCATTTAATGGTTATTGGCCATAGCAAATTATTAATTAAT